AGGTGCGGGGCTCGCTGCGTGCTCGGGGTCGCTCCGACGCCTCGCCTGACTGGCCCGTCGCGGTCCCGCGGGAGACCGCCTTACAGTAGAGCATGTGAGATGAGCACCAGGGAGCGGACGCTTTGTGGACAGACGCGTCCCCCCCGAGTCCAGTGAGCCCCACTTTGGATTACCTGGCTGGATCGACGAGGACAGAGCTTTCCTCGTTTGCTTAAAAAAAATCAGCTTTGCCTTCAAAAATGAAAGTAAACTTTGTTTGTAACGTCTCAGTACCTTAGCGTCGCTCAAGCTGTCCAAGCTTAGGTAGACAAAGTGCTTGTAGACACCACTTAGACTATCTGTACATACACTCTGCACACAAACACCCGCGTGTGCATGTACACACTGTGTTTATTGTCCCACAAGGACGCCACTGGATGAGCGGCCCCAGCGGCCTCTGAAACATCCACGTTTTAAAAAGTGAGCTTTGTAAGAACAGGTCACTGCGATAAAAACCCGAGGGACAGGGCGGCCGGAGGACGCCCCGGCGTCCGCTCGAGCGTCCACAAAAGGCATTTGATAGTTGACTGTTAGACACCAATTTCTTAGCACCATTTCCTAGAACACCTGCACGAATTCAGTGTTTCGCTGCCGAGCCTTGACGCTTCCTGCATCACTACGAGTAAAGACCGCAGTGGACACTGCGTGGTCGAAGTCCGATTCCAGTCTTGAGCACGGGGGTCAGCACCAGATGGGCGTGTCGCTCGGCGGTCTCCGGCGTGGCGGGGCAGGACGGGTCCCCTCTCCTCCCGCTGCGGATCGCGGGCGCGCCGCCGGCCACCCCCTGCCCCCACGCTCGCAGACTGCCCTGTGCTCCTGCCTGACCCCCGGCGGGCCCTGGGGAAGAGGTAGCCCGGGCGCGTCAGATGTACCTGTTGTATGGCCCGGTGACCCGCGTGAAGGCGTACGGGGCCGTGGTCACGGTGGACTGCGTGGTCAGCGACACGGTCCTCTCGGCCAGGGAGCGGATGAAGCGCAGGTAGGTGGGCTGCGCGGCCTCGTGCGGCTCGGCGGGCTCGCGCTTGGGCTTGCGGCCGTGGCTCCGGGCGGGCACGTGGTCGGGCCCGAGGCGCTCGCTCTCCTCCTCCTTCTCGCGGGCCTTCTCGGCCATCTTGGCCTCCCAGAGCGCCAGGCCGTGCTTGGGCTCGTTCATGCTCTTGTGCTGGTAGAAGACCAGCGAGATGCGCGTCGGGTGGTTGCGGTTGGGGTTCTTGAGCGGGGTGGTGGCGTGCAGCTCGCGCTTGGCGCACTCGATGAGGATGGAGCCGTGCGCGGGCGCCACCGCCACGCCGCCGATGTCGGGGTCCAGGAAGCTCTGCTCGCTGTCTGACCACACCTCGTCCTTGTCCTCTGCCGCGGGGGGCGGCTTCTCCGCCCGGCCCGCCTCCTGGACCTTGGGCAGGCCCTCGGGGGCCAGCAGCTTGGAGAGCCCGTGGGCCAACAGCTCATTATCGGGGCGCTGCAGGCGCAGGGCCCCCAGGGAGCCGCCAAACAGGCTGCCGGACGCGCCGTAGTTGCGGATGAGGTGCGAGGAGGGGTGATGCTCCCCGTTCTTGTAGTCCAGGCCCGGGTGGCTCCAGCTGGGCGGTAGTCTGGAGGGGGCACCCACGAAGGGGCCCTCCAGCTCGGAGCCCGAGTAAGGCGGAAACGGCCCCACGGGGTGCACGCTCGGTCTGAGCGTGCAGCTCCCGAAGGCGTCGGCCGGCAGGCCCTGGTTTCCGTACCCCAAGTACTTGGAAGTGAAGCTCTGGCTGTTGGCGAGCCTCGGCTGGTAGAGCGTGTGGATGGGCGGGAGGTTGAGCTTGGCGAGGGGGTCTTGGCCGGGACAGCGGTAGAGGTCCGCGGGCTGAGCCTGGGCCGCGTAGGGCCCCAGGTACCGGGCGCAGCCGTCCACGGACACGCTCCCGTTGCACGGGTAGGCGGGATACTGGTGGTTGTGGCTCAGGAGCCCGGGGTAGGGGCTCACGGGGCTCGAGGGGCTCAAGTAGGCCCCTGGGGCCTGCGGGGCGGCG